GCTTAAACATGTGAGAGGTTGATCGCGCAGAGAATCACTGAGCTTATGTGAGTGCGTGTGTAAAAGCAGCAGGATATATATTTTAGTTCTTCTGAGCCAAATAAGACAGGTCAGGGTGAAGAAGTGACGGCCAAAGAAAAGCTTACCGCAAAACGGAGAAGTTATGACAAATCAGACTATAAGGCAAAAAGAAAGTGCAGCTTTATGGTTTCATGGACAAAATAATTTCTGTGGCTACGATATGATGAGCTAAATAACCAGGGGTGCACATAAGTGGTCCGCAGGTGCGCATTCGCTGTCAAAATAAAAAACACGCACAAGGGTTAGGGTTAAATTTAAACTGTACTTTAACTTTACTGTACTTTTGAGTTAAAATATATATTTATAATTTTAATAAATGACAAATTAAAAAGACATGAACATTTTATTTTGTATCAAAAAAATATCGAACCGTGACACCAAAGTATCGAACCGAACCGAACCGTGAATTTTGTGTATCGTTGCACCCCTATTAAACATGTAATATAAGTCACTTAGATAACTTCAAAATGTTATTGTTTGGCTTTTTTTTAGTTTTTTATTTGTTCCTGAGTAAATCGGTTCGGCTGAGATTAAACTTATAGTTTTTACACAGCTTTTTAGTTAGCACATACCTTAAACACTTCAAGCTGTAAGCTAATGATAGTTATATAAGAGCAGTTGCATGCTGGTCCAATAAGCTGTACGTTTTACGTCCAATGGATGATGATCTGATTAGTCGACTAATCGCAAAAATAATCGGTGACTAGTCGACTATCAAAATAATCGTTTGTGGCAGCCCTATTTGGCACGCCAGGTGAGGCATGATTGCGGATGCGCAGCAGGTGTGTCCACCTGCCCCATATCCGCGCCACACCTCTGCAGTCAAAAACAGACCCACTGCAGCCACTAACAGGGAAAAGTATTAAGCTGTCACTAAATTTCATATTTTTCATCTCTATTCCCAAGTTCCCGGATTTCTTTATTTTTTCACAAGACTAAGACTGAACTTTATTTTTCCATTTTTGTTCGCATTTTGTTTAACTTGTTGCTTCTTTGACGAAGTGGTGCAGACTACTGAAGCAGTCTAAAAAGTTACAAATAGTTGTTTGAAATGGAAGTTTTGTTTAAAACAAAAATTACTGAAGGATTCATTGTGAATGAGTTTGTTGTCTAAATAAATTTGCAGCTAAACTTTTCTGTCATTGTTGTGTTTAGATGGGGCAAGAAAATGTTTCTTCCTACCATGTGGAGAATGATGTAAAGAGCTTGAGAACCACTGTGCTAAACAGATTGTCACCTGCCCGAACCTACAGGTGTTACATAATGTTTTTATTTTTTTTTTTTTTCCAAAAATATCCCACTGTGTACTGATAAGAGTCACTTTGTACGCTCCAACAGGTTTCAGGGTGAGAAATTTTTATCTAAATAGTTAGGAAGGTTGTTAAAAGGACATTTTCGGATTTCCCTTTGGAAAAATAAATACATGTTATTTATTTCTTCTTCTCTACAAGCTGCATTTCTCTGTAGGGATATTTATTTATTTCAAAGAATAATAGAATTGTAGTCGAGTATAACCATATGGAGTGGAGCTGCTACTCCTCCCTGAAAGGAGCCATTTGGGGTGGTTCATACTTCTGATCACGATGCCTCCTGAGCGCCTCATATTTGAGGTTATTCGGTCATGTCTAGCTGAGAGGGGATACCAAAGAGATGCTGGAGAGAGTCTCTCTTGGCTGAAAGACCAGGATGTGGTCTTTCAGTCAGAAGTATCATTTAGAAGTAATTCTAAATGATGCTTGAGTTGTTCATCATTTATCATGATCAGCTGTTTCAGTTGTTCTGCAGAAATGCTCAGTCTTGCTTGACAGTCAGTGTGTATTCTTTACTTTTATTGTCTGTTTGTGTGTTTCAGATGACCAGTGGCTTATTTTTGCAGGAAAACCGCTGGAGGAGGGACGCACTCTCGCGGATTATAGAATTCAAGACAGGTCCACCGTACACTTAGTTAGAAAGTTGAGAGGAGGGAGAAACCCAAATACACAAGATGTTGACAGTGAGGAAGATGATGACACAGGAAGCAAGAATCCCACAAACCGAAGTATGGAAAACCTAGTTTTCATGTAAATCCTTGCAAAAACACCACAAACAACATGTCAGTGGCCCATCGCCCAGTGACTCCTGAGTAAACTGGGCACTCCCCCCTGTCAAATCAGAGAGATTCTCTGCAACATCTATTAAGGCTTGCTCAGCGGTGATGAGAGGGAAGCTTTCTAAGGCAGAGAATGTTTTCTACTCACCCCACAGAACTGAAGATGATGACGCATTAAAGCCCCATTTCTGCAGAGTTTGTTTAAATCAGCTGTTGCTCTGACTGTTGCTCTGGTTCAGCCAGGCTGATCACACACATAATAAGAGTCATTGAAACATTCGGTATCAGTGGCACTCAAACCCTTTAAACACCACATGGACAGTACTTCAATTCATGACATCATGTTCAATCAGTAAATGACTCAACTCAGCAAAATGGAAATGTCCTTGTGTTACTGACAGTTACAAAAAAGTGTCTCCTACTCTTTGCATCGTCCTCCATTGCCAAAATGTTTTAATTTTAAATTTTCTTTATTCCTTTTCTCTGTTTAGTGCCTGTAGTCAGGAGGTGTCAGTATTTCTTATCATGGTCATCAACAAATCCCTCAAAGTTGGACAAGAAGGCCATTAAATAAAAGTCATGAATTATACTTGTTTACCTAAACTGAATTATTCGACTTTGGTTGATGTTTTTAAAAAGTCAGTTTAGGCAAGTTCTGCATTTGTTATTACTTTGTGCTATGTGAACTTTTCAGAGATAAAAATGACTAACTATGAATTTTATATTTTTGTTAACCTCAATTTGTTAGCCTGTTCTCGAGAAATGAATAATCAGCAGTCAGATTTTGTGTGGGTACCAAAAAAATCTGACATTTGAAGCATTATTTGTTTGGGTATGAGCTCAGCAGACCATCATAGGATGAAGGTGTAAAGACACGAGAAGATTGGAACAAAACACAACAGCATAGAAGATCAGCCATGCAGTCTGGTATCTGTTGTTCTTGGTCGGCTTGTTTAAGATCAGTTAGTCACTTTTGAGAAAAAGTGATGTTATGAATATTTGCACAAGATTTGACAACAAAATTTAAAAATTCTGAATCTCTGTAAGGGATAATTTTTGTGGCCTCCATGACATACAAGTGCTAACTTGTATCAGTAATATCCAATGATCATGATTTTTATTTATCAATCCACTAACAGAAAACAGAAGTCTGCTTTTATTTTTTTAAATCAGTCTGAAATTTTTAATGAATATGATGCTTAGAATTTAAGAGATACTGATTCACTCTGAGCATGTTGAAACAAAACAGAAGAAACTCAGACAATTTTATAAGTTCTTTATTTTTCACATTGTGATATGACTACGTGTCACAATCAGCTCTTGTGATGCTAAGATTTCATTTGTAATAAACTGAGTACTGAAAGTTTCTGAAGAGATTCTGAAATTTAAATCATACTTCATATTCACAGACAAGTTTCAGAGAGAGATGTATGCATAATGATCTCACTGCACAGTTAGTGAATATAACAGAACAGTAACAGTCTGTTGTGTTATTTAAAGTTCAACCAAAAGGAGGCAGAGAAACCGAAGGATGACAAAATAGAGCTCAAAGTGTCTTTTGAAACACAGTATAAGCATTTTTCTATATCACCAGTTGTTAAAATCTTGCAGAAAAATATGAATGTTCTCTTAAATTGTTCATGTGTGATGGTTTTAAGTTTTCCTCCACACAGGGATGGAGGTCTGCCTTGGAGCGACCCCACTGGGGCAGATTTCATATGGTGAACTAGTCTGTGAACATTCACGCTTTAGTTTCAGGCAGACAAAACAGAACTCCATGTTGCAGCGAGGACATTTGATATTTTTGCAGTGTTCTGTGGTATGCTCCACCCTCATGCCACATGTAGGACAGAGTCTGATGGCGGGGCAGCTGGTGACGCCTTCCACCTCAGGCAGACTGATGGTTTTGCATGTCTGCATGAGTTGCAGGTCTTTGTTCTCACAGCCGTCATTGTCACAGCGGTCAGATCGAAGGCCTGCACCCTTCCACGGTTTCAGACACTGCCAGCAGAACTGGTAGGTCTTCTTCTGATCAGCTGTGCATACGACACACTGGACACACAGGTTGGACAGATCCTTCCTCTCCACATCTGTTTTACACTGTGAACACTGATGTGGGAAACAGTGTTTTAAAGAAAAGAAAGAGACCTCCAATTTAAACATTTTTATCAAAGCAAAATAAGCTGAAAGTCACTTACTTCCTGAACCTCGCAGTGGTCTGCAAGAGCCAGACGAGCCATGCTCTCTTCAAAGTGCTGCATTTCCTCCACAGTCAGATCAGCCAGTCTGCGCACCTCCTGGTACGACCACTCTTTATTACACTGCTTGGTACCATCCACTAAAGCTGGACATCTGAATTTGTAATTCCCCTGAAACCAACAACAACAACAAAAGACTTGTATAATTAGAGAAATAACTAAATACATTTACTTAAAGTCTAAATCTGGAGTACTTCAGAGCTCTTATTTTCATTATAATAACACTTTGTTACATTTATCTGATAAGCCTCTAGTTATTTTCACAATAACATTTTGCAAACATTTTGGAAACAAGTACCAGTAGCACCCTAGTGTTGAGCTTATAAAATAATATTTACAAAGCAGGGCCTTGACCTAAAAAGTAACATTTGTATAATAATTTTAGCTAAGAAAGATTTCTTTAAACAGAGCTCAAACCTTAAACATAACTTTGTTGCACCACCATTATCCAAATTGAACATGAAACTTTATTTACAATTTTAAAAAAGGGCTACAAAGACACGACATACCTCATCCAGCAGGGAGCGACACCAACGTGTCAGAGATTCAGGAGTGACAGCGTGGCCGCAGGACATCTCTGCTCTGAGAGAGTCATCACCTGAGGAGGGAGTGGACGACAACAAATCAAACATGTTGTTAGTTTAGAGAGGAAACAAAGTCAAACTAGATTTGCATGTCAAGCTACCCCTCTACACATCCAAATCTAACAAATCTCACATCATGTAAGCTGCTTTGTATCCCCACTCCTCCTTTTATACTGTGTCTGACTTAATCACCATCATATCCAATGATGGGAATAACGGGGTTACAAGTAACGGCGTTACTTTTTTCAGTAACGAGAAATCTAACTAATTACTATTCCTATCGTTACAACGCCGTTACAGTTACTAACAAGAAAATGCGGTCCGTTACTATTTTTTAACAAACAGATGGTTGAAGCTGTGTTCAGCTTATATCCGTTGCACGGAAGTAGCTGTAAGTAATCTGGATGCTACAGCTTTAAGCAGCTGTGCGCGCTCCCGCAGACGGTAATCACGATCACTTTCTAGCACAACACCTGGAGCTAAGGGGGCAAAACAACCGCATGAGTGCTGCTGTTTGACTGCGGAAGAATAAAGTAGTCGTGGTAAGCCAATCACATGACCACTTAAAGACAAAGCAACAAGGTGATATATAGCAGTTTTAAAATTGTGTTGATAAGCCACGTAAAACCAGAGCCATGATAAACAATATATACGCGGCGTTTTTTCCTCAATAGTTTTGTCACGTTTACTGTCTAAGGACAGAGCTAGCAAGCACTCTGTGCTTATGAGAGAAAAACAAAAAAACAAAAAAACAAAAACAGGCGAAGTTAGGAGTGACGGCAAGAAAGAGAGAGAGCAGAAAAAGAGAGAGAGCGAGTTTTGAGATGTGAGAGTTTTGTGACGTTTAACGTGTTTGGAGTGTGTAGTTGCCCTGCGACAGACTGGCAACCTGTCCCTATGACAGCTGGGATAGGCTCCAGCGCCCCCTCCGCGACCCTGAAAAGGGATAAGCAGAAGCGAATGGATGGATGGATGGATGGAGTGTGTAGTTCATGTGTTGTCTTGTGTAGTTAGTGTGTAGTGTTGTGGTTAGTTTTGTGTTGTGTGTCAGAACAATGAGGCGACTGCTGTCTCCAGGTAGAAACAGGAGTGATACACCTGCTGCTGTCAGACCTGCAGGTATCAGGCTGTGATGTTCTCCTTTATAGTGGACAGAAATTATGTTTTTGGAGTGGCACAAATAATTTGTGTGGCATCTTATTAAATAAAGAACAGCTGATTGTTCTGTAAATAGTTTGAAATGGTTATTTAAAAAAAGGGTAAAAGGTAAATGGATGCAAATAACTTTGTTGCTTGCAAAACCTGTGCATAGGATTTTAAAATTGACAATTTATATTTGCATTTAAAGTTATGAAATATGATTCAATAAACATGTTTGTGGTTGTTACAGTAAGAAATATCACTTTTTCTACTCTGATTTAATGTTTTTTATCTGATGTTAGATCAATTGTGTTAATACAGTATGTCAAAATGAAAACATAACTGTAAATTCAGACACAATTTAACCCTGAGGGTTAAATGTTTTTTTTAAGTAACGCAATAGTTACTTTTCAAGTAATTAATTACTTTTAGAATATTGTAACTCAGTTACTAACTCGGTTACTTTTTTTTGAAGAAGTAACTAGTAACTATAATTAATTACTTTTTCAAAGTAACTTGCCCAACACTGATCATATCTGTCTTTGATGCCTGCTCTGATCTGTGCTGGAGTCTAGCTGCTGCTTCCACAACAGAAACAAAACACCAAATATAAATTATATTCAGTAAAAATAAAACAAATCTTACATGATGAATCCAAGTCATCCTCTCTGTTGACAAACTTCAGGGTGGTGTCTAGAGGGTCGTATTTCTTCTCCACCTGATCCTGTCCACGAATGCTCATTTTGGGGATCCAGCACTACAAATACTGTAACATAAGATTTATATTAACATGTCAGCCTCCATTATAGACCAAAAATAATGACTGTCATTCTCACAAGCTAGGAGTTTGGACTGAAAGGAGGATGAATGCTGTCTGATACACATCTTCAGTGTGCTGATGGTTCACCTTTTCAAGAGGGAAATGAACCAACGCATAAAAAACTAGAGATTTACACCCTACAACCTCAAACTGCACGATCAGCGGGGCCTATCGCGCGGTGCCCCGCGCTTCACTCGGACTTTCTGACCACGTCATGATCCACCTAATCCCCGCGTACAGA